GTCGGCCCCTCGTGCGTGGGGCCTGCTGGCGTTCGGGTAGTGGGCAGCTTGGAACAAAACCCCTCGGTTTCTGAGGAGGAGGGTTTGTCAGGCGCGAGGGCCGGCAGAGGCCGTGCACGGGGCACGGCCGTCACTTGGACCTTAAAGGCTGGCAGGTTAGCGCAGGCCCGCAGACCGGCCGTGGGTGACTGCTGGTGGGTGGGGAGGGAAGGGTTCGTTCCTGTTGTGGGGCTGGAGGTGTCTGAGCCTGGGCAGCGAGCGCTGCTCCAGGCCGAAGCGAGCGGTGGCGAAGCCCGCGCAGGCAGACCTCGACTTACGTGTGGTTTACGCTGAGGAGTTGATGGTGGCCTGTGCTGTGCCGCTAAGCGAGCTGCCTAACCCCGTTCCGCCCTCCGCTCCTCCGACCGCCCTGGCGTGCTTCAGGGAGCGCTCGTCAAGAAGGTGCCGTTGGTCCTTGGGGACAGGACTGGTCGGAGCAGGGAAGGACGGGAACGGGCAAGATGCTCGTCCAGGCTCTCGCCATGCTTTTGTGTGTGAACTGGGGCTGACTTGTTATTCTTTCCCTTGCCTTTGTTTTGCCATATTTAAAATGGCAGTAATGCTGCTTTTCCTGGGTTGCAGGACTTGTCCAATGAGTTTTGTAAACAGCTTTGAGACTTCAAAAAGAAAGGATGGATGAAGAACAAAAAGTGAAAAAAATCCCAAACTTTCATCTTTAGATCCTACAAAGAACCTATAATTGCATGAGAAAATGCAAACCTACTTAAAATTGCTGTGTTGTTAATGTAATCGTTATATGATGAAAGAAAAAAAGATAAATGCCCTATTTCAAAATTAGGGAAGTCCTGCTGTGTGTCAAGGAGGTCAGTAAAATTAATTTAGTATTTTCCAGGTAAACTACATCCGATCTCCATTTTAACTTTTCCTCCAGCTCGCTGACCTGTTAAAAGGAATGCCCTAATGTATCTGTAGAGAAAAGAACTTGTGGCAACTTCTCAAGAAAGGATGCATTTTAAAGCAGTGCAGACATGTAATGAGATTTTTCTGAAGTCTACCACATACCTAATTTGCTTTCTAGATGTGTAAGTGCCTGAAATTAAAAATCTTGTTGATTAAAAAAAAATAAAATGTTATTTGTTCCAAACATTAAATGTTAATTCCATGAGGCCCTCTCTCTTAAGAACACCACAAGAACGTAAGTAGTGCATTGGCTTCTTGCCTAAAGGAAACTTTCTCCAAGTATTTTACCGAGTGAAGTGTCTTCCTTCTTGAGGTAGTTAATGCTCAGAACACGACATCATTAGAATAGGTGGTGGTGCTGAGAGGAGCAGGCCTGCATTTCGTTTCAGAAGGAGCGATGGCTTTTGCATCAGTAGCGAGTCAGACACCTTGCAGACTCCCTCTGAACAGTACCCGATTGGCAAATGGCCTAAAAATGAAACTAGGGTCCCATGTGTCCACACCAAATCCACATCTCTGCGGTGTCCCTCTTAATTATTTAAAAATGAGTGTTCTCCGTCAGTGTGTTACTCGGATGAAAGTATGCAAACAAAAATGGGGTGGGTGGGCAAAGCTATTGTACAATGTCTGCTTGTTCCTCCAATGCACAAAAATACTTGCCAATGGGAGGGAACAAAAACAGCCACGGGGAAGAAAACTAAACCCCAGCCTCTTTCTTGATTGTGCCAGTCTTGCAGCAAAAAAACACCAGCAGTGTTCAGACTGGAGGAGCTGCAGAGCCAAGTGTGGCACTAGCTCCTGCCAGTGAATAGGAAAGTCCTGCAATGAAGTACGAAAGAATCAGCTTATGTTAGGGGTAGGGAAACAAGATCCTGTGATTTACAAGCTGTCACTGAGGACACCTTGCAGATGGTGAACTCTGAGACACGTGCTGACATTGCTTAAAGTCGCTGCGCCACTGAAGAGAGGGGAAAGGCGCCTGGTACTTGAAATCTGGAAAAAGGAACGGACATGTCTGTTTTCCTAAGTGTCCTTTGGTTTCTGTTGACCATCAGAAAGCCGTGTTGCTCTGTCCCGTGCAGGCTGGGGGCTCCTGGGGATACATCACTAAGCTGGTGGAGCTCCAGAAGTCACTTTCTTGGCATAGGCTACATTGGGCAGAATGTCCTGTGTGGATTCATCGCTGCTGTGTCCTGTAGGGCCCAGATGAGGCTTGGCTGCCTGGTTTGAGGTGGAGCGCAATATACTGAGAGCATTTGTTCCAACAGACCACAGAAGACCATCTTTAAGATAAGCACACAAACAACCTGCACTCTGTGCTCCCTTCTCCCCCTTCTTTCAACCCTTGAGTAACTGAAATCCCATTTTCTTGTACACCGGTTAGGCTGGGAAGCTGTCTGAGAGAAAGACTATCCTGCTGCCAGATGCTTTTTTTTTATTCTAACACAGTTGTTTTTCTCTTCACTTGATAAAGTTAAAATAAACAATCTCTGGGGTGAATTACAGGCGTCAAAATTGGATTGGCATACAAACTGTAGAGCAGTTTGTGGTTGGGAGTCTGGGGAAAAAGAAACAGCAGGTTTTAGCTAGAGGGGACAACAGCTTTATTTCCCTCTTGGTCCTTGACAACTAAGCAGATGTCCTACAATTATTGTTTTACCTTCTAGTAATATAGTGTCTTTTCCTATCCTCGCAGGTACGCGACTGGCTCTTTTGCAGATGTGCAAGTACATCTCTTCCCTAGTTCAAAGCCGTCTTAGTGCATCACTAGCTTCATCTATTGCCAGTTAATGGCTGGCTGAGGTTCAGACAAATGCTTGTTTCTCCCTCTCAACTTTACAGGATACCTATTTCCAGTCCCGTTTTATGAAGATACAATTGATGGTCTTAAGAATAAGAGCTTTTCTGAACATCTTACATGGGCTTTTTCACACCTGTTGTATTGCAAACTTTGCTTCTGGGTTGATGCCCTCCACTGTATACACAGATGTCTTGTTCATGTTTTCTACAGTCCTTCAGAGTCCGCAAGGGCAGTTGTTATCAGGAGCAGTAAACCCTGACAACTTGCCCTGTGTTCCTCTGAACAGATGATGGGGTAATGGGTGGTGTCACTCCACACAACCGCTATCATTGGGTACCCACTGTACTAGGTTGGAAGAGACGTAATGTGATGGTCCTGTTCTGAAGAGCTTGGTAAGTCTAAAAGTGTTAGAAGAAAGCATACTGGGGAAAATAGCATCAAGTTAAATGAGTTTTTAAGGTTCTGGGCCAATGTATGAAGGAGTGCTTGCATGGTCTCCTGACAGACAGCAAATGGTCTGTTCAGCAGTTTCTGTTAAGCGTGAGGAAGGTCATCTTTGCGCTGTCTGAAATACCCTTTTTGAAAATCTAGGACTACATACTTTCAGGGCTTACCTTCACCTGGTATGATGAACTGTGCTGAAGCCTGAAGAATGCAAACTTTTCTCTTTATTTTTGAAAGCAGTCCTGAAGTCTGTTTCTAGCCTTAACAAAGCTGCAATCCAGGTTTATCATCCTACAAGACATCTGACAGGGAAGTTAAATAGCACTCCAGACACATTTTTAAAAACTTATTTGGGATACAAGGAATGTTAGTGTTTTTCTCAACAGGTGGGCATTCAAGCTGAAGCCTATGTCTTTACAGTATGTGTGTGTATGTAATGTATAAAGTCCCAGGTATTTTAGTGTCTGCATTTATACCCTGCCTGGTTTCCCAGTTTTGTATTCAGTGCTTTCTTTGTGCATGAGTGCCAAATGACATCTTAAATTCTTGGACCTTATTTAAAGAGACATTGGGTAACTTGGAATGTTTAACAAAATCTTAAGTACAGTTTTACCCTACGAAGCTTGCACCTGCTCTTGCAGTATGAAAGACAAACATGCTGTTTCTTCGGGGTAACAAGTGTAAATAGTCAATTTTTTGCTCTCTAGAATAAGGGAGTTGCAAAAAGTGAAGTCTTGGCAGATGAGGCTTTTGATCCTGTAGGGACAGGATTGGTTTTATGTAACGGGATAGAGTCATGGGCAGAGGGTTTCCATTATTCCAGCACTCTGATGGAATAACTTGGCACCTAAACC